GCCAGATGTCCAGAGCGGATCAGAATATTTATGGCTGCACAGCACAGCTGGGCTTTGCAGGGATCAAATCTTTGGCCGGCTTTAGTTTATTAATCTTCTGATGGAAGCAAACAGTCATTCTGCAATAAACTCAGAACGGGAGAAAAAGAAACGTTTTGCGTTGCCTCCTTTGCTCATGGGCATCCTGAAAGCTCACTGTTGCAAATGGGAAAATGGAGGAGATGGAGGAGATTATCCAAGGCAGCTCTTATTTTATGGCCGAAATTGAATTTAAAACATTGCCATGCTTCTTCAAAGAGCCAATGTGGTGCAGTGGTTTGGATGTTGGACTAGGGTGCCTGGAGACCAGGGTTCGAATCCCTACTCAGCCATGGAGACCCACTAGGTGACCTTAGGCATGTCACACTTTCTCAGCTTCAGAGGAGAGCAATGACAAATGTCATCTGCAGAAATCTTGCCAAGAAAATCCTAGGATAGGCAGCCGTTAGTCACATAACAACAATAAGAAGGGTATAGCACACTGGGTACCTCCCTTAGAGTTCAGGCTAAACCCTGGAGCAGATTCACTGCCCCCACTGACATGGAAGCCATGCTGACTCCTTATCTAGGTCTGGTCTCTGCACACAGCAGGATGATGTGGTGAAAAGCAGAGATGGCTTGGAAACACTGACTGAATTATGATCAAAAGTGACATTTGGGGCTTCAGAGGGAAGCTGGTAATCTCTGTTTATCACACAAACGTGGGTGGCAAATCCTCCGTGCCCCACTTCAGCCGCAAAACATCTTTGTGCGAATGAACACTGGGAGAGTTGATTTGATGCCTGGTTATGTCTGCTCACAATCATGCTCAGATAATCCTTCTCCTAAAGATTAGGAGGAGAGAAGGAAGGGCAGGAGGTTAGATAGGAGAGAAAAATATGCAAAAGGGCGGTGGTGTGTTTTAGCTATTCAAGTTGTCTCGGGGGTCCAGTTTTGAGGGGAAAGCGAGGCTATGGCTCATTTGAAATGTAGTGCTGGAGGAGAGACCTACAGATACCATGGACTGCCAAAAGAGAGAGGGAGAAGGAGGGAGAGAAATCAGTGGGTTTAAGAACAAATCAGGCCAAAATGCTCACTAGAAGTCAAGATGACTAAGACTGCTGTACTTTGGACATATCATGAGATGATGTGACTCATTGGAACGATTGATAAGGAGGGAGCTCAATAGAACAGAGGAAGATGGCATTACAGGTGGATGGGGTCCATCAAGGGAGCCAGGGCTTCCCTGAGCTTGCAAGACCTGAGCAGGACAGTTAGTTGTATTTTTTTTTTGGGGGGGTGCTTTTGGAGGTCTCTCATTTATAGGATTGCCATAAACCAAAGTCAGCTTGATGGCAAGCAACAACATCTTCATGTAGCCTGGAGAAGAGAAGGTTAAGAGGTGACATGAAAGCCATGTTCAAATTAATATTCCTTTGAAACTTGAATTATTTTTATTAAACATTTTAGATGTGATTGACACCAAATGAAGCCAAGGTTGTAAAATTGTTATGTTATATATGATTACAGCTGCTAGACTGCTTTACGCTAAGTTCTGGAAATTAGAGACAATACCTTCCTTAAATAATTGGAAAATGAAAGTAAATGAAGTAGCTACAATGGACTGTTTATCGATGTACATCTCAGGGAAATCTGATCAAAAGTATAAAAAGAAATGGGCATGGCTATATAGAAGTCAGAAATAGAAATAAAATTGGATAAGATAAGGACTAAATCAAGTTCACTATAACAATTGTATTGAAAATTCACAGATAAGATATATATGTATTTATATAATTTAATCCTTTTCCCCCCCTTCCTTCTCTCTTTAATTATAAGATTTATTATCTGACTTAAAGATTTATATTTAAACATATCTGTAATGAAGATATGGAATTTATTATATACTTCTGCTTGTATGTATATGTAATAATAATAATAATAATAATAATAAAGAAAGTCATATTTAAATATTTGAAGGAGTGTCATATTGAGGATGGGGCAAGCTTGTTCTCTGCTGCTCCAAAGAATAGGACATGGGACAAGGGATTCAAGCTACATAAAAAGAGATTTTGCCTAAACTTTAGGAAGAACTTCCTGAAGGTGTGAGCTGTTTGACAGTGGAAGACGCTGCCTTGGAGAGTGGTGGAGTCTCCTTCTTTGGAGGTCTTTAAACAGAGGCTAGACAACCACTTGTCAGGAGTGCTTGTGTTGTATTCCTTCGTGGAAGAATGAGTTGGACTGGAAGGCCCTTGAGATCCCTTCCAATGCTATGACTCCATAATTGTATGGCTCTATTATAATCATTATAGTATTAGTAGCAAAGTAAAGATGATGTTAGTTTGTTCAAGGAAGGCCAATTATGATCGCACAACCATTTGTGCTCTTTTTCTGCCTTTGCTTGTTCTTTCTGTGGTCACCCCGAAGAGCCTCACATGGCATATTCAGAACAGAGCTGCTGCATAATGGATGACTTGACCCTTCTGCCATTTCCACCAGCGACAGCGGCTCCGGTTGCATGACTCCAGATTAACTATTCATGAGTTGTCACTGACACCCCTGCAAAACAATTGCACCAGGCAGGCCTGGGGTCCAATTAGCAAGATCTTGTTACTGAACATGTCAGCTGGCTTAAGCAAATGACTGGTCAGGACAATAGGTTGAGGGTCCCTCCTAAAGGCCTCTGGAAACTGAGATGGGGGCCGTGAGAACAAGAAAGCCGAAGAAGATAGAGGCTGAGGACGAAAGGGCTACTGTCTGGTATCTTTGGAAGAAAGGCTGATGCCTCTTGAATGGGGTATCCTCAACCACACTACTCTCATTTCTCAAGTGAAAGCAGGAGCAGACATTAAAAGCAGCTTCTGTTGTGGTATCACAGAATAGGGAATGCCAACCAGTTCTTCTCAGGATTTACCTCCTTTAACTAGCAACTTAGAATTGTAGGATTGCAGAGCTGGAAGGGACCCCAGGAGTCACCTAATTCAACAACTTGCCTGCTCAGGAGTCCACAGCGAAAGCATCCCTGACAGATGGCTGCGCAACCTCTGCTTAAAAATCTCCAGAGAAGAAGTGTCAAAACCTTCCGAGGGAGATGCTTCCACTGTTTGACATCTCTTATTGTTGGTCTTGTTAGACAGACATCCCAATAACAGATGGACCGTCCAATGTTATAGGTATCTTTCACATTGCACAATTATGCCACTTCAATGCCACTTTAACTGCCCTGGTTCCATCCTTCTAGGATTTTAGTTTTGCAAGATATTTAAAGTTCTCTTCCTAAATGGCTCCCTAAATACCAGAATTGCATAGGATGGAGCCTTGGCAGTGAAAATGGTATGACAATGATATAATTGTACAACATGAAAGAGACCTTACATTTCAGTTCCATACACTGAAGACAGAAGGATTTTGGATTTGTGAAATCCTCTGTTTTGCTGTTGTTTCTGTTTCTCCCAATATCCCCCAACCCGAGTCAGGCACAAAAGGTGTCTTGAAGGAATAGGTGACTCTAAACCCTTTCTGGAGCTAGAAGTTTATTTCCAGTATCAGAGCTCAACTGAGCTGACAGTCCTCAGCAGAGTCCAGTTTTAAACCCCCAAAATGTGGCTGTGGATATGTGTTAAACATTGGTATGGAGTTGGATCAGGGATAGTGAGTGGAAGAGTGATTTGGAAGCTTCAATGGGCCAAATGGGTGGTATTCAGCTTCTTCATTGAATTCCCTCTGAAGGATCATGTCTACAGATTGGCAGCATAGTTTGATATGAGTTTTACTTTGGATGTTGAAAGGCAGATCCTGGGAAAGCTACTCTTTTGGACTACATCTCCCAGAATACCCCATCCAGCAGGGCTGTTACAACTCCTTGATTCTTACATTAGGGTGTCATCTGCTGGCCATACTATCCAGGAAATTCTGAGGAGATATAGTCTTAAAAAGTAACTTATTCAAGCTCTGTTCCAGGGATAGTTAAGGCATGAAAGCTCAGTTTAGTATGCCAGCAAAGTCTGTTTTTGGACACAGATAGCTTTGGCAGAGTTATCTATGCTCTGGAAGCATCCAGATTAGATTACTGCAAGGAGCTTTGTACAGCAGCCAGAAACACCACATTTCTTAACAACAGGGCAGCCAAAAAGGATCTACCAGTCCACCTATATTCCACCAACTTTCTGTTTGTTTCTGGGTGCGAGGAAAAGAGTTTGCAGAGCTCCAAACTGTTTGGGAACAGGATATTCCCCAAATGGCCATACAAACCTGCCCATGTTCAAAGTGCAGATGCCATGAAAACAAATTGGTAACACTTCTCTGATATCCTGAACAAAAAACACATTTGCAAAATAATTTAGGTAATTTATGTAGACATTTCTTGGTTGGGTGCTTTTAAGCGTCGGCAATCGAAAACCATGGAGTTTTGTGGTACCTTAAGGACTGACAAGCTTTATTTGGCACAAAGTACTTTTGCTGATGCAAACAGGACAAAATATTTACAAAGTTTTCTCAACTCATCACATTGATATTCGCATTGGTTTTATGATGTATATGGGAAGAGAGAGAAAGAAAGAGAGAGAGAGCGAGAGAGAGAGGGAGAGTATATATAAATATGCTGTATGTATGTATATGTATGTGTGTGTATATATATATATGTGTGTGTGTGTGTGTGTGCTGTGTGTGTGCTGTATGTCTGTGTGTGTGTGCATATATATATATATATGTTACATGTATGTGTATATATGTGTGTGCATGTATGTGTGTATAGTGTGTATGTTTATGTGTGTATATATGCTGTGTGCATGTGTGTATGTATAGTGTGTATATATGTGTAGTGTGCATTTGTGTATGTATGTCTATATATGTGTGTGCTGTATGTCTGTGTGTATGTATATGTGTGTGTGTGTATATATATATATGCTGCATGTATATATATGTGTGTGTGTGTAGTGTGTGTGTTTGTGTGTGCATGTGTGTATGTATAGTGTGTATATATGCTTTATGTATGTATGTATGCATGTATGTAGTGTGTATGTGTGCAGTGTGTGCATGTTTGTGTGTGTACGTGTATATATGTGTGCTGTATGTCTGTGTGCATGTCTATGTGTGTGTGTGTGTGTGTATATATATATATGCATATGCTGCATGTATGTATGTGTACATATATATATGTATAGTGTGTGTATGTTTATGTGTACAGTGTGTGTATATGTTTGTTTGTGTATATGTGTGTGGTATGTCTGTGTGCATGTGTGTGTGTGTATATATGCTGCATGTTATGTGTGTATATGTGTGTGTAGTGTGTATGTGCTGTATTTGTGCATATATAGTGTGTATATACATATATATGTGTGTAATGTGTGCATGT